AGAAAGGAAAACAGAAGAAAATTCACGACAACGTAGTAGGTCGCCGACAGCCAATTGACGATTTGTTACAGGTGAAAACTAATTTTTGTTGTCGAACAGTTCGCTAGAATTCTTATGTTCTTCCACCGGAAGTTAACAAAATGACGGCATACATTACAAGAAGTAAACCAAACTGATTACAAGAAACAAAAAGAGGAGCAATCCGTCGAGCACCGTCTTGAATTTTGTAGCATGAAAGCAAGGCTTCACAGACGACTTGAAACAATGAAACGATACGGTCTTACCCTGACAGTACTATACACTGACCAATGAACTTTATGGACGGTAATGCTGTTGTCACATTTCTCTCAGATCATTCGTCAAGGTGTTTACACAGACATGAATGTGGTGCCCATTCTTCCGCCGACGAAGTATGATTCGTCAGGACGGGTTCTTCGTCTGAATTCTTTTGCTTTAGATTTTTACAAGCATGGGTCCAGTGTAGCCATTGTGAAAGAAAATGGGTGAGTATTTAGGCTCGGTTATCAGCCACTGTTCAGGAAAATGAGACTGAACTCGTACCGAACTTTCTTAGACTTCTTAGGGCTTCATCATGGGCTCCTCCTCCAGGACACGTGACGAAGCTCTAAGAACATCCAGGCTGAAGGCGAGGGAGACGGTTGAAATCGAACCAAGTGATGATATCAACAGTATTTTGAAAATTTTGTTTTCGCCCCTGATTTCTAGCCTGGTACTTAAAGCAGACTTCTCACAGTCCCTCGATTTTCTTTAACTCGAACAGTGGAAAGAAGCCAATGAACGTACATTCAACAAATGAAAATGGGAGAAAATAGAGGATTTTAAACAGCACCCCAATTCGGTAGCCTGAGAAAACAGCCGACCTTTTGCGACGCTGCCACTGCTTTCCCCGCGTTGTCATGACTTCATTTCGCGAAGAATTGGTGTTGGCGTCAGGAAAAGTCGCCTGTTTCCTCAGGCTACCGAATGAACACCTTGTTATGGTATATTTTAATATCCACACGATCGTGAGGGAATCCCAGTAATAACGTGACATCGAGCCACAGGTGGCTTCAGTGTAACATTAGACATTGACTGAACCAATTAAAAAGTGCAGAGGAATGATACTGTTTTTCTGACCTTTCTAATAGTATGACTTTTAGGCCTAATGATGTTGTCGTTCAAGGATTATCTGAAGGAAAAATGTCAAAGTCAGGAAAGTCCTAAAAATAAATATTTCACCGTGCAACTGAGATGCAAGGTAGTCATCTTAAACAGGTTTCACTTATACTGTAACATGTTTAATTATTTGCTATTACGTTGTAGAATCAAAGCAGGCGAAGTCTTCGTTGTACTAAAGGACTTTTGTCTTACAATTAAATCAATCAGGTGCGTTTCCTTAATTTAGATTGCCCCCTTTCTTAAGTTTGTATTTTGGAAGGGAGGCACGGGAGACAATGCGAGCAGAGCACATCATCACGGGGTCATCAATTAGAAGTAGTGCATTAGTTTCAAACAAGTGGTGAGGTCCAGAGTGGTGAATTCAGGGACTGAATAGTAATGAATTTGATGGCTACAATCAGAAATACAATTAAGACAATTGTGCCTAAATTGATGATGGGTTGTACCCAGCGTGCCTCACGATAACAAAGGTGACCTCTCCCTAACCCCCCAAGTTTGAGTCGACGCTTTCTTCTCACCTTATCTATGAATCGCCTCGCCCCATGTAAGGGAATCTAAGACATTCTTGTATTCTGGCTTCCACGCCGCAGATTCCAGGTACTGTATTCCAGTCTTTGATACTTGGATTCTGGATTCCAATCGTTACTGGGATTCGGACTCCTTGAACTGTTTTCCGGATTCCACAAACAAAATTTCCCTGGACTCCAGATTCCAGAAATCCCTTACATTGGGCGAGACTTCTACTCTCTGCGCCATTCTTAGCCGAAACATTTTGACTGAACGTGGTTCACTGTGGTCAAGTAAGGACACATCGGAGGACATGCCTATGAAACAAGTCACCCGAAACGAAAATCCAGTATCTTCTTTCCTGTTTACCTATATGCATTACATGGGTTCTTTGGCGGTTTAATAGCGAGTTACAGCTATACAGGTCCGCCAAAAGGGAAAGAAAGAAAAAAAAATTGTGAGACTCTCTTGGGGGGGAGGGGGTGGGGTACGTATTTCCAGCATAGTCTGAATTTCAAAACTCGTCGCTACGCGTACAATGTATTGAAGAAGAAGCCAAGTATCATTGTATTTGCACTTTTCTTTGTCGCTGTCGCAGTTTTAACTTATCTTTGTGTCGTTTGTCGCCATTTCAGCTGTCCTTTGTCGCTGTTTCATGGCCATGCCACTTGTGGGCCTCAGTGTTCTGTGCTTGCGCTTTTTTTACATATCATCGTTTGAGATGGATTAAACTTACAAAACTTTTTTTAATTTCAAAAATCAGTTTTCAAATAAATGTTGTGTTTTTCAGTTGTTCACTTCAGGAGTGGGGACCTCGAAACGACGATGTGGTGCTTGCCTTTCAACAGCTAGCTCAAAAGTTTGGAGAGAAAGTTCAAAAAAGAGTTTGGTAAAGAGATTTGAACAGATTATTAAAGTATGAAAAATTAAGGAAATCAAACGAATCAAAAATCATAATTCACAATGTGAACTGTTTTCAAAACGTTAGTAAAACAGGAGTTGCCTTTAATACATACTGAAAGAGAGGTGCAATTTCAAAGCGAAAGGCGAAAAATATTTTGCGATAAATTCCAAGCGGAACTTCAGTTAGTCTTGTTCGCAACCGTTCTTTGTGTCTGGTACAAATAAAGGCTGCGAGGGACACAAGCTGATCGGGTTCCAAAATTAACGTATTACCCAAAGAAAGTTAAGGATAAGATAACGAAAAATTTCTTTACGTTGCCGGATAATTTTGGAACATAGATCTTTCAGTGAAATACGTTTATGACAACAGCATCGTAATTTATTTATTCTATAATTTGCACCTTTTCCTCAGAGATGAAGAGGTGTTACGAGTAATAAATCAATGGAAGTTTGATCGAAAGAATCAGTAAGAATTTAAATAAAAGAAACCGCGTCGAAAGGCGAAAAAAGAAAACAAAACTTCACTAACCGGCATTTTGTTGTCAGAACGACAACAGAGCCAGCTTTTCTTATTGATCAGTTCGCAGAAGTAGATTCATGGTAGCACACTTTTTTTCGTTCTTCGTCCTTTTCAGCGTAAGACAAATGGCATTTGAAGAAGTACTATCAATTTGAGATGCAAATTGTTATAAAGTTGCTTTTAAAATAGACTACGTTTATAGGGCACCTGGCGAATTTTCGTTCACATGGAACTGTCGACCCAGGTTGAATTTAAACTTTTTTCAGTTGTTTACTATCTTCTTGAGGAAATCCACAATGACGTCTCNACTAACCGGCATTTTGTTGTCAGAACGACAACAGAGCCAGCTTTTCTTATTGATCAGTTCGCAGAAGTAGATTCATGGTAGCACACTTTTTTTCGTTCTTCGTCCTTTTCAGCGTAAGACAAATGGCATTTGAAGAAGTACTATCAATTTGAGATGCAAATTGTTATAAAGTTGCTTTTAAAATAGACTACGTTTATAGGGCACCTGGCGAATTTTCGTTCACATGGAACTGTCGACCCAGGTTGAATTTAAACTTTTTTCAGTTGTTTACTATCTTCTTGAGGAAATCCACAATGACGTCTCCTAACAGAGTTTTCCCCCCCTTCCTTCCCGCTCCCCATCCATGCAATCACGTCTTTCAGTGCGACCCCTTTACCTTGCAAAATTGAGACGGTCGTGGTTTCACACCACGCTGGTCAAATTTTCGACCGTACCGCCTAAATACTTGACCTCGACTTTGGCGTCCCAATGTTTGGATGGCTAGGCTTTTGAATTTTCAGACGGTTAGCGTGGTTTGGTGTAAACTGAACAACTAAAAAGGTCGACTTTTCAACCCGGCGGTCGAAAATTCGTCGGGTACCATGTGAACAAAGCCATAGGGCAGTTAAGCAGTCGACTCGACAGCTTTTAAGGTTGTTCGGAATAAATGCATGAATAAGTAAATAAAATAATTTATCGTTATGATTAACGCTGCACGCGAATTGTCAAACAACATAATACCAGAATAGCAACCAAACGATAGCTAACAAAAAATAAACTGAAGACCCACGATTTTAAATAAGGAATTTTTTTTTTTATTCAGTAAAGGAACCATTTTATTTTATTTGACAAGTGTTCTTGTCAGAAGGAGTCAGAATAAGGCAAAATAGGTTACCATTTTGCCTACTGGAAGCATCCGAAGGGAATACTGCTGCATCGCCGGTGTCAGTAGAGCGTAGTACATAAGTATCACTTCGCTTTTAATAACTCTCATATACATCCACAATTTTTTTAATGTCTTTGCAAAATAGCGGCTATCATCTCAGTTGGTTCGAAGAGTCCACTATAACCCGACCATCCCGATCCTTGACCCGCACACGTCCCGTAGAATATCGGGTCTCTGTTCGACCATCGGGATAGACTGTCTTTACTGTCCCGTCAGGGTACTCTCGTTTCTAAATATGGACAAAAAACACGTCACGCAGAGAGAGCAACACTTTTGAACTCTAGGACATGCAATCTGAACAAACATCTTTACGCCTGACTTTTCTAGAAGTGAAGCAACATGGTAATACCTTTCACCCAACTTCCGAGGTAGATATAGCCTGTGTAAAGACCCCCCCACCCCTCCTCTCAGGAAAAATCAGAGAAGGGGGTCTGTGCACAGGCTAAGGTAGATATTCGAGTATTCCTTTTGTATTTTTTCAATCACAGCCCATTGGGAGGGTATTTAACCAATCCAATAACTATTTTTATAAAAGTTTTATTCAAGACACCATTTTACTCCACGAAGTGCTGAAGTGAATAAGCAAAGATGGGATTTCACAAAGCCTGTGTTACACTTAACCTCGAACTAAAATATGCAAGGTTGTCTGTATTGTGTAAATGAGCTAATCTGTAAGTTAGTGAGAGACATGGGAAAATAAAGGGCCGGTATTTGGCAAGGAGAGAGAAACTCACGGGGAGTAAACAAACTAACCACGCCACAGACAAGCCACGCGAGCGACTTCGTAAACGATAAAAGCCATGCAAGAGAGAAACCTCTGTTCGCAGGGTAGCTTAACCTGTTTTCGCTGGAAATCTCAGGCATCGAGGAAAGGAGACACCTTTTAAAAAGGTCTACCTTAGATGCAGAAGATCGCTAGCTTTTTTTACACATTTGTTTCTTGTTTACTTTTCAAACTGAATTGAGACCTTGGGACGTCAGAATCATAATCAAGTTGTGACACCCCGGGTCCCGCAGCGAGACACGCCGCGGGATGAAACTAGGAAAGCCACTGTAAGAACTCGAACAACACAAGGCACAAAGTACAAAATGGTGTGTCTCTACTTACTTTACAGCACTTGGTGTGAGTTTCCCGTTGTCCATTTGGGAATTCAATAGTTCTCTCTCCTTCCACGTTAACCTTTTGTATGATACCGTCACTAAACACGCATTCTTCCGCTCCATTTGGGTACAGGTACTTAATGGTCTGATCAGGAAATATTATCTCCTTTGTTCCTTCACGGTAGTGCTTCTCAACCTGTTTGCTGAATGACAGAGAATCAAAGTGGATGGTACTTTTAGAAACCTGGTGTTCAACGAGAAGATATACTGAAAAAATGGTGAATGAGGATTTCAAGAGATTAAATTTTACATACAGACCTGGGAAATTGAAGCACTTCTAGTCCATCAGGGTATGTGGTATGGGTAGTCTGCGCTTCTGAATAATAGTAAATCTGATCAAGAAAATAGATGAAAAATTAGCTATTTGAAAACCTCTCATTTCTAACGCATGGCAAAGTTTATAATCCGTTCCAGCCTAGTCCCCAGGCATTTTCGGCTCGGTCATTCCTGGACTCTACCATGAGCTGTGACGTCACTTGACGTCACCGACAGATACTCGCCCGCTCTCTCCCAGACTTCGCGCGGACAACAGATCAAGAGAGAACGACTAGGGACTAGGCTGGTTGTGGACAAGAAATATGTCCCAGCAGACATCCAGGCCGTGTTAAAGCAGGAGCCATTGGTTTTACCCGCCTGGGACCCCATAGGTTCCCTTGCTTGCGTAGTGTGCAGAAAAGACGATCACCTAGCTCATTTGTGATTTACGTATTTAGCAATTGTTGTAAAATGACTCAAAATTTGCACGATTACCCGCTTGTATCAAACCAATCAAGCAAACGAAAAAACTTGGTGTTGCTAAAAAGCCCGCGTGATAGACGATAAAAACGGTAATGAGGGGATTTTTCTACGGGCGCGAATCGCTCAACACTCGAAGAGAACTCAAGTAGGCTGAGCCCAGTTTCTCTACAATAGCTTTATCCCTTTGCTGTGCATGTTAAGATCTTTGTCATGAGGAGATATGCAATACATAAGCTTTTAAAGAAAAAAGTACACAGGAAAGCTGAGAAAAATGTTCAGAAGTTGTCCGTAGAAATTTATTCTGTTTTCGTTCACGTGATCTCAACGAGCGAACAAGTATTGAGTATGCGTACTTAAGGAGCAATTTAAGAGCGTTTATTTTGTTGACTCTCATAGGCAATTTAAGCAAACGATAATACCTTAAAATCTACCCAATAAAATTTGACGAAAATTGGCAGAAATCCTGTTTATATCGTACTCGTGTCAATGAAAGCTTCAAAATGAATCTTGAACAAAGGAGTTTTTTTTAACACAAACAAGTTTCTCGAAAGCTGTTTTATTAGAAAATTCAAAAATTGTTTGTTACCATTTAGTTAAGTTGTTTTTAAAAACTTAAGGTTACTACTTGTAAGCTGTGTGCAAACTTATGAGAAAATCTGATGACTGGGTTGTTCGTGAGCCTAATAAATTCAAAATTTCAGGCTTGTTGTCAATCATCCATGTTGCCATGGTAACGACTCAATTCTCGCCTTAAACCTGATAAATAACATTTCTTGTAAATATATTGTATACTTGCCAAATTTTCGCTTTATACCTGCAACGAGTCCTAAAAAACACCTTAATGAATGGTAACGATCCGCAACCTATGAAACTAAATTAAGCTAGCCTGAGAGCAGAGCAAGTTCTCTCTTTCGGAGAGTCGCGAGAAGTCACGCGAGAGCAGCATAAACGGAGACCTTGCTAGCAGGCTAGAGTTCTGGCCGCGGTTGTTCAAACGTTGGATAGCGCTATCCACCGGATAAATCTCCATCCAGCGGTTGGCGTAATTGATTTCCGTAATACTTTTCCGCTGGATAGTGATTTATCCGGTGGATAGCACTATCCAGCTTTTGAACAAGCTGGGCCAGCCTCCTAAAGAGATGAAAATTGCGGCTGCTTTCCCGCCAACGTGCGCGCGCTTCTCTTCCCCATTGGCGCCTGTCACGCAAACACTTTGTAATACGCAAGTTGTTTTAGTCACTGAATTGTAGATTCAAGTATAGTTATTAAAGTGGAATGGTCGGGTTACAAAGCCCGTTAGACTCCATTGTTATATGTTTTTGTGCTTTTACTGACCATTAAAAACGTCGCATTAATTTCTTCTGTCCCAATTTGTGAACACAAATCAAAATGTGCAGGGACTGAGCTCCTAAAATGTTGTTATTATTATCTCTGATGTTTGCCGCCGTTCATAACCAGTCTCCTCTACTAACTACTCATTCTCTCTTGCTATGATTCACGCTGGTCCATAGTATTATAAAGAGCAAACAACAGTCAATAACTTGCTCACTACTGTAGTCCTCTGGTTAATGGTATTTTTGACGTCATGTATAATGATAGTTTATTTTTGGTCGGGGCCTGGGTTTACTGTTAACTGTTTAAACAAATCGAATCAACAAAAAAAGATACTGAGTTTCAGTACGTTCCGATCGAGCTTGCGTTACCCTTACCAAGCGCACGTGTCCTCGGTGCTGACCAATGGGATCGCAGCGTCTGTGAACGAGATTTGGGTGATCGACAAGTACCCTGGGCACGTGGTTTGGCACGTGATAGTCTGGTGTTTATTCTCCGAAATGAGATGTAAAAACGTGCTCGAATTTCTCGGAAGCAGCAATGTGCAATATAAACTGCTTTCTTTTCTTCAGGTGATCATTGCTCGCACCTAACTTACCCTCCACAGAGGTAGTTTCGTGATTTGGCCAAGTTTACCGTTGATCATGAACACAGGATTTTACTCGCCCGGAACGAAGTAGAAGTGAGCCTCGGATTCAAATCAATGTCATTTATAATTTTATCCTGAGGTAAGCCACTCAACAGAAGTGTCTGGGAGGAGAATAATGTGCTTTATTAGTACGAGGTTTAGAAGGTAGAGAAAAAACTGTTGACTCGGACGGTGAAAGGTTACAAAACTTGAAATTCAATTCCTTTCAGTTTTAAATGTTAGTAGAAAGTGAACGACACTGTTCGCGATAAATAAGCTTTTAGTAAAGATGTTGTACAAAGGAAGAAACGAAGCTGATATTTGCATTCAGACGTGTCTCACTGATGCGACAATGCTTTTGATATAACAAGTAAGACAAGGTACGTTTTGATCACAATATTTTATTGATGGAAATTCTGGTTTTATTTTTTATTTTAACCAGGATTCTTTATTCATGACTTTATTGTCGGAGACAAATTTATTCTCGTTATTGTCGAAATCAAGGATGTCGATTGATTACGTAAATTCTGCAGTTACGTGAATTAACAAGCCGTAAAGTGTTTACGATCTAGTAGAATTGTTTAAATAGAAAATTTAAAATTTGTTTCCGAGTGCATGAAAGTTGAAATCTAAACTAAAAGAAAATAAGAGTTTTAAACTAGCACCTGTTGATTTAAATTCGTGATAATCTTGAACGAATTGCACCTAGACAATTAGTTTCTATTGTAAAATGAAATCAGTGATGCGACCGAGTCAAAGCGCATGTGGAAGAAGAGTAGAACAAAAAATCTTGGTCACTGGCAAGACGCGTGACAGTCAAGTACCCTTGACGCATTCATGACGCACAGGTGGTTTTAGAGCAATTATTGCCATTTAAAGCAACCTTGTGCAGGCTTATCGCGGCTCAACCAGCAGCCGGCACATGCGATTGCCAGGGGCGTTGCTAGAATTTTTCCAGGGGTACGCAGACTGAGTCTTTTCCGTCTACCCAATCGTTTTCATTCGCTGTGTGAAAATCGGCTAAAAAACATTCCCGAAATTTTGAGCGCAAAACAAAAATCTGAAAGAAGTAAAAGGGGAGTTAAACAGGTAAATGCGCCGTTTTTCAGCTATCCCTTATTTATTTTTTCCTCTGCTTTGTTTTTCTATTTTTTGTTTGTTTGTTTGTTTTTTTTATGTATCTTCGAGATTTTCTCAGGTACGCTCTTGCGCATTGGAGTAAAAGTAGCTAAACACCCAGGCATGCTTTCCAACTCTTCGCCTGGTCTTCGCCTTCGCAAAAACGTGGCTTTCTACACGAAACAAGAATTTTCCACAACCCATTATATCGACGACCGAGTGCTCTTTACCGTATTTACCGTTATTTCCAACGATGGTGTGCCTTTCTTCCTGAATCGATTATCAGGGGCCTCGATTTGAGGGCGCGAAATCGAGCCAAATCGCTTACTAAACATATTTACTTGCTGTTTGCATACTACGAAAATCTCAAAAGCCGAGAACAGCTTCGAGCAACCCAGACAGAAATAGTAAGGCGGCCTCGCAGTGATAATATTTTTGTTTTCATTACCAATATTATTGATAAGCTTGACCCCTTCCTAATTTTCTTGACTTTCTTCTTATCACGACTGTGTGTGGCAGGCCACCCTGCCAGAAGTGGCTATCATGGCCGCTTTTATCTTTCTAATCTTTGTCTTGGGTTGCTGGGCATAATTGAATAAGGAAAAGACTGAAACTGTCGCAGGGGTAGTGGCAGGCCTAATAGTTGTTCACCTTACCCAGGGTTAGCCAACGACTGTTTTCTGTAAAATATCTGTTTGGAGAAGCAGATGTTGCCTACAATTTTCTTCTGCTTGAGGCGGCTGAAAATTTCTAGATGACTGTTCCATTCATGTACAATTTTCGAAGCTTATCTGACAAATTCCCTACGGTTTTCTAAAGTTTAATTTTTCACATTTCACTCTCCATGTTAGGCTATTCTTCGTAGAAAAAAGGAAACCTAAAATTTTCGGATTCAAAAATGTGATGGAGAGAGGAATCGGTAAAATTATCACTTTAGTAATACGTTAAATTGCATCTAAAATTTTCGGGAAAATAATACTGAAGCCCTTGTAATTTCGAAAGTTCCCCTAGGATGAGAATGCACTTCTAGAGATCTAAAAGTACTCTGGATAGCCTAAAATGTGTTTTCAATGTCTCCAGGAGGAAACCGTCGTTGGGTGTCCCTGCCGTGCTGGCTTTATGTTATATTGCCCTTACGAAACACCAATCAGCTGAAACTATATACTGACACGGACACTGTTAAAGATAACAGAGAGATAAGAGTAGCACCAAATAATGGCGGTAAAAAGACCACGATAGGTTTTGGAAAGCTTTGCAATTAATTTGAAGAGAAACTAGCAAGGAATGCAAAAAGTGCTAGGCAGTTCATTTTCAAGCCTGCGCGAAGAGGAAACTAAACTCCGAGTTAGCATGGCGACACTAAAAACGGCTGTGTAGCAGACTAGGAGTTAACCAGAGATAAGTTTCGTCTGCGGGCGGGCCATTCATTTTCTTGTCATGTCACACGGTCAGGTTACATCTTAATCCCCCTCTTCCCCCTCTTATCCTCTCTTGACAGAACCCATTCAGGTGTTATGAATGGCCCGTATTCTCCAGTCACATTGTCTCGTACTAATGCTGAAAAAAGGGCTCTCGATGGCAAATCCGATTGTTCAATTCCGTCTGGTCCGTCTGTAATTGTACGAGTTACGAAAAGAAAATGGGATGACCGTGCAGCGGGATTCATACTTGTTTATTAATGCACGAATCATAACTGAAACAAAATTTGAGACAATAATTTGTGATAATTTCAACCTTTGTTTTTTTGAAAAAACGAGGTCTCCCGCGAGTATTTTTGCTAGACGTAAAAAAATCCATTCAAGAGTAATTGCCTCCATTCGCCATTTGCAAATTTCCTATAATTCACCTTGTTTGTCCCCCGAATTTCCCTAAAGCATTTTCTTCAATTTCTCTGGGGACGACTGAAATGCCAAGGAGCAATTTAAGACAAAAGTTTGGCGAGTAAACAAGGTGTATTGTGGGAGATGTAGAAATAACGATTTATAGCTTGCCCACTGGCGCATCTTGACCAATTACTTGAGCTTCGATAAAACGGGCAACAAAAACGTGCAACTTGTTTTTCAACATTGCTGCAAAACGGGTTGAAAAACGATGTTGCGCGTTTTACCTCCTACGTTCAAGAGCCTGCCGCCCCTTCAACAAATCAGGTTGTTGAAGGCTGAGAAAAGTTGTTGCAGAAAGTAAGGAGCAGTTCCTCTTTTTGAGACAAAGTCTGTCCATCTTACGCGTTTTAAGGTACGGTAAAACGGGCAACAAAAACGTGTATTTTGTTTTTCAACATTGCTTCAAAACGATTTGAATGGCAATGTTGCGCGTTTTACTCGCTACGTTTAAATCAGCCTTGCAACAAATCAAGTTGCTGCAGGTTGCCAAAATTTTTTGCAGGAAGTAGAGAGTTGTTCTACTTTTGGCAACAAAATCTTTACATGTTGCGCGTTTTACTGGCCCAAGGCAAACTTGTTTGCAGCAAGTGACGTAACTCCCGTGTATGGCGTGATTACCGCGTAATTTTATCCAATCAGAAGTCAGTATTCATGCAACTTGCAACAACCTTATTTGCTGCAAGACAAGTTTCATTAGTGGGTGGTAAAACTCACAACATCGCTATTCAATTCGCCTGTTTGCAGCAATGTTGCCCAAAAAAATTGCACGTTTTTGTTGCTCGTTTAACCGTAGCTTTAGGCACGACGCAAAATTCCATCTAAAGAATTATCTTCCTGAGCTTTTACTTTCATGACGTATTAGAGCAGCTTATGTTAATATTTATACAAATTTTCAGTTTTTACTTCGAAAGGGTTCTTCGTTTTGAATTTTGTTTTGAATTTCTGTTTTTGCGTTTTGCGCCATTAACATGCGGCCAAGAGAGCTGTCAAGCATGTGGGTTAAAAATGACTTATTTTGGGTAATTTTTCTATCTGAACGGTCATTTTATTAGAGAAAAGTATTACTTTAAAGGTTTTGAGTTCCTCCAGAGATGAATGCACGCTTTCCTAACAAAAATCAGTGACGGTTATTTCTGTTGGTTTCCGTCCGCCATGTTGGTACCCATCCGGATGGGCACCAACATGGGTCTCCATATAAAACTCTATAAATGTGCGTAAATCTTTTCTCCGCACATATCGCATATGAAAAACTGTACTAAGCGAAATCTTGGCGAGGTTCTTTTGCATATTATCTACTTTTATCTCCTAGATTCAGGACATTTATCTCTTGAACGGTTTTGATTTTTATTTTTGATGGCGTGACACTGAGAACCAGCAAATTAGTTAAATCTATCTAATCAAGTTATAGTTGTGATTAATTCAGATATTCATCGCCTTTTGATTCAGAATGGCTGAAGGAGGTGAGGATTACAGTTCTGATAACGATTCTGATGTTTCCCTCAGCCTTGGATCGGACATTGGTGAAGATTCAGATGACGGTAGGTATATAACCGACTAAGACAATCTACCTGAACGATGTAAAAATATATTCATCCTTATTATATCTGTTTCTGCTTTGTCTTGTTACAATAACAAGAATTAATACAAGAATAATGTTATATACTAAGAGCTTATTAAAGAAAAGACAACAGGAAAATTGATTCATTAATTGGAGCGTAGAGGCTAGCTAAAGGAACCCGGGAGATTTTCAAGTTACATCCTAATATTTTTTTCATGGATGTTAAGGGCCTTTTTACTGAATAAAAGTGTTTTATTGCAGATATAAGCGAACTGGAAAATCATTATGAACCTGATGAAGCCAAGTCCAATGGTGAGAATGACATTCTCGAGGAGAATGAGTCAGACCTTTTCGAAGAAAGTAGGTAGCCAACGAATGTACTATTTGCCAATAAGGAGCAGTGTCGAGACTTCGACATGACAAGGATATAAATAGTTCGAAAAAGCCAGTCTTTTTTTTGCAGTCTCGATCTATGGGAAACCTAGCTACTAAAATAAAACTAGTAATAGTTGACCCTCCAGCTGCCCCGCTCTGTATTTTGTCGGTCAATAGTATTCGTGGTCGTCGTGTAGCTCTTTGAAATATACCTATTCATAATGAGGATTTTCACACATATTCCATACAAAAGGTGCGATAAAAACAGGAAACGCAAGGTTCCATGTACTGATTCAGGTCGATTCACACAACTTTGATCAAAACATTCTCCGTTTCGAGAATATTTTATTTCAGTAAAGTCCAATATGTGGTCTATTATCAATGCTGCGTTCTGATTGGTTGAGCTACAACTAGGCTATTTAAGCAATAGAAAACGTTTTCCGTGTTTGCATAGCCTGATATAAACACGAGAGGGGTTGGGAGAATTCGACACAGTTATGCAAACCCGAGACGAAGTCGAGGGTTTGCATAACCGTCGAGAATTCTCCCAACGCCTCGAGTGTTTTTAGCGAATTAGCGCGCGGAAAAAAACGCAAAACTCTTTGTATGGCACTGATTAAAAGAGAAATTCTTACCAGTCGCAAAATCTTGTCCACGAAGTCTTGCACGCGTAATGAGTTCTTGTTTTGCAAAAAGATGCTTTGCAAAATACGGAGTTTTCTCGCTTAAAATGTCAGCTTAAGCGAAGAAAAATTGACTCACCTTCTTTGTAACGATTTTCCATGTTTCAGCCGACGAAGGAATGGGTAAATAAAGTAAACTTGTCGAGCGCGTACTATCTTAGTTATTTTATAATATATGTTATAGCCCACTAGTAGCGAAAAGCGCCGACTTTGAAAACCAAAACAATGGCGGCTGAATCGCATTTTGCTAACTAAAGTTGTTTTGTCTCCATATTTTTGACCAACTAGTTTGATTTTACTAAAACAGTTATTCCTCTCGCCCTCATGGCCTCTGAGCTATTGACTCAGAGCCCATTCGAGCCCGAGGAATAATTGTTAACTAAACCATAAGAAAAGATTTGATTAGAAGTGGTAACTTGTTTCGCTATTTCTCTTTCACTTTTCAGATACAGTTCATTTTATTACCCAGAAAATAAGCCCTTAGAAACTAAAAGGTTTGATCGATTCACGCTCGCGCGTTTTTAACTATTGAGACCATATTTCAAAAAAAGAAAACTTTATAGAAGGACATCTGTGAGCAGGGAATACGTCAGCACAGAATTTAATTGTCGGCGAATTTCTATAATCGTCCATCGTTACTGCTAGTGATAAGCTAGGCCTTAACTCACTCGTTTTCACAGGGAAACTTGCTTGTTTGTGGACTGAGTCTTATTCCCCCAAAGAGATATGTCACTCATGACTGGCAAACTCTCCAAGTGTTTACATAGTGTTGTGGTTCTATTTTATCCTTGGTTTAAATTTTATTTTCTTTTGTTTTGGGGTATGGTAATGTATGATAATGAGTTTGAAACTAACGATTCCATGCGGCCCCTGATCGAGATTTTTTCTGGTATACTAACTGCATATTTCAACTGTAAGTAACGTTTTTATAGATATGTTGTGGTTCCAATTTTCTTTTCTTTTGTTTCAAACTCATTATCATGTTATTATCATACATTACCATACCCAAAAACAGAAGAAAAGAAAATTTGAACCAAGGATAAAATTGAACCAGAACATATTTTCGGAGGGAGAGAAGCGACGACCGGAAATACGTCTGTGGTTCGCAGGCTAAGTCACCGCAAGATTTACGTGAGGACATCGACGCGGCTCGCTACTGCATCCATAAAGAGGTAACCATGA